GCGGCGCTCACGGGCCGTGCCCGCCCTCGGCTTCTCGAGCCGGCAGCCGCGGACCAGGCCCTCACCGCCGGGGCCTCCTGGAGCCGGCGCTTCCCACCCGGGACCTGCCCAGCTGGTGTCTCACACTCACCGAGCCCCAAACCTGACCTGCCCCTTCGCATCCGAAGCCCGCCGTCACCGGCTCCCGCCACACCCCGGACACTCTCCCAGACGTGACGCCCCTGACCGGCCCGCCTGGGATGCGGAAGCCCCCACGACCGGCTCCCATCTGGTCTGGGTCCTTCCTCCCCATGGCCTGTCTTCCCTAGATCAGCCCTGCCACCAGTCCTTTTGAGACCCCGGAGAACTCTCCATTGGTTTCACCAGACTCGGGACCCTCCTCATGGCTGGGCCCATGTCAAGTTCTCTCGGACCTGAAACATGTCCCCCACCCCTTCCTCAGTCCCAGGAGTCCTCAGACCTAGGAACCCCCAGACCCTGGGGTTTCCCTCCTCCTGAGGTTTCCTCCTTAGGAGGGCTTGAGCAGACCCTTCAGATGTGGGAGTACCCTTCTCCCATTGGCTGAGCACCCAACCCACAACTGATTGGTCAGGCCCGGGCCCCATCTCAAGACCATGCACTCGCTCCCTGGGCGCTGCTCCCTAGGTCTCCTCACAGCCTCCTGGGGCCCCCTAAGTACCACCCACTGCTTCAGTCTCTTCATGATCCAGGCACCCAGCTCCTCCCAGCTGCCACCACCCCCAGGTCTCCTGCCCCAGGCTTCTTACCCTCCCTGCCGCTGTTCTGTGACCACTTCCAGTCTGCTCCCAGCCTCCCTGGCCTCCACCCAGACCTTCCCACCCTGTACCTTCTTGCTCATTCCTGGTTCTTGCTTTCTCTACACGGGCATAGGGCTTCCTCCCAGTCTCTGACACCGTGTGCTCGGAAAGCTTACTTATCCAGTTTTATTTCATGTCTACTCACCTTCCTCCCATTTGACCTGGATTTCTGAGTACCTGCTGCCAGTCCCTGATCAGCTTTGGGACTACAGCTTCACCTGCCCAGGTACCTCATCTCTCTCAGGCTTGACACTTTTCCCACCCAAAGGGGATTGGCCGTGGTCAATATTCCCTTTTAGTTTCTCTCCCCCATCCCTGCCTGCCAGAGGACCCCCTTTCTCCCTCCCTTCGCCCCTTTTTCCTCAACCTGACAGCCTACCTCCTGGGCTGTTCCCAAAAAGGCCCTCCAAACACCTGTCCCCTTGAAAACTCTTCCAGAAGTGTTGAGGCTCTGAAAGCAAACACTTACAGAGTAAGTGCCCCCTTACATGGGGGTGGAAGTCTGTTAAGCTTGCCTTTCACCCCTCTAAATTTTTAAATCTTGACTTGATTTCTGAACAAGCAGGTCTCCCACCCAAAAGACAATGGGAATGCCTTTTTCTTTCTGCTAACTGTAGAGAACACTCATCACTCTCTTTTTTTCTCCATTTTTGATTGGGAAAACAGTATCTTCATGTTAATTGTTCTTTGGTCTGTAAACTTAAAAGTTCTATCATGAGCCATGATATTATTGCAACTGAAAAACTACGGTGGCTGAAATATTTCCGTCTTCATAACTATATGCCTAATGTGGTGGTCTTCTCTTTTTCTTAGAATGTGAGACTCCATCGCGAAGGTACGGGTGTTTTGTTTTTGCAACTAATCATAGAATTCTGGAAGCAAGATCCCTGGGTGTGTCATGTTTGGGATGATCTTGAATTTGTGCCCGTTTAATTTGGTGGTTTCTGATGTGGTAGGGGACAACTGGCAGGGTGGCCAGGCATCAGAGGAAAGTCTGCTTTGGTTACTGTAGCAACTACTCCCTTCTGTCATTCGTGTGTTATTTCTGAACTCCTGTCGGGTGCCAGTCTCCTTGTTAGCCGGTGGAAGCGATGCTTGATTGAGTTGGGGCATGGCTAGTAGGTCTCAGGCAGCCCAGAGCAGAGCCCTGGCGTGGATAGCTGGGAGCCACCTGAGTAGGATGTCTGATGGTGCGGGTGGTGGTCATGCCAAGGAATGCGGCCCTGCCTCTGGATCGGTGAGCTGCCTGCTCATCATCGCCACCAGTCAGTGGCATGTGAATTGCCCCCTTATCTGGTTTTTCAGCCAGGACTCGTTTCTCAGATTCAAACTTCTTAAAATATATCTGCCTTTCATAACTCAGCTTCTTTCCTCCTTTCTTTCTTTTTTAGTACCTTTATTTAGATGATATTCACCTATTTAAAGGGTTCAATTCAATAGTATTTAGTATGTTCACAGAGTTGTGTAACCACCACCAAAACATGATTTTAGAACATTTTCAGCCTGGTGCATTGGCTCATGCCTGTAATCCTGGCACTCTGGGAGGCTGAGGTGAGAGGATTGCTGGGGCCCAGAAGTTTGAGACCAGCTTGGGCGACATAGAAAGACCTCATCTCTACAAAAGTAAAAAAAAAAATTAGCCAGGCATGTTGGATTATGTACACCTGTAGTCCCGGCTACTAAGGAGGCTGAGGTGGAAGGATCACCTGAGCCCTGAAGGTCGAGGCTATGGTGAACAGTGATTGTGCCACTGCCCTCCAACCGGGGTGACAGAGTAAGACGCAAAAGAAAAAAAAAGGAGAGAGAGAACATTTTCATTACCCTTTATACCCCTTAGCTATATCACCCCTTTCCAAACCTAAGCACTACCTGTCTACTTTTTTTTTTGGCTCGCTGTTCTGGACATTTTATATAAATGGAGTCATATGGTATTTGTCCTTTTGTGACTGACTTCTTTCACTTAGTATAATGTCCGCGAGGTTCATCTACCCATATGAGTGTCCACTCCTCATTCCTTTTTATTGTTGTACTGTCCATTCTAACAAGCGTCCGTTGAATGGATATACAACATTTTGTTTATCCGTTGACCAGTTCATGGACATTTGGGTTGTTTCCTCCTTTTGGCTGTTATGAATAATACCATTATGAACATTTATGTTTAAGTTTTTACGTAGGCCTATATTTCATTTCTCTTTGGTAGCTAGACACCTAGGAGTGGGATTGCTGGGCCATATGATAACTCTATGTTTAACATTCTGACGAACTGCCAGTGATTTCCAGAGTAGCTGCACTGTTTTACACTTCCAACATGTAGTGTATGAGGGTTCCAGTTTCTCCATCTCCTTGCTAACACTTGCTGTTGTTCATCTTTTTTATTGTAGCCATGCTGGTGAGTTTGAGTGGTCTTTTAGTGCAGTCCTGATTTGAATTTCCTTAAAGGTTAATGACGTTTTGCATGTGTTTTTTGGAGCACTTTCTTTGTAAAGATTCCAGAGTAAAGAGTTCCTTCAACCTTTGTGAATTTCTGACTGGATCTGTTCCACTCCCACCCCCCAACTCTTGCTATGATTACTTTTTCCTCCTCTGTCATCTAAGAAGCCAACAGTAGAATGGAACTCTGGTCACAAAGGAATATTTAAAAGAGCAACCATTGAACACAGCTGTGCTGCGAGACCTTATTGCTAAACACATGCCCTGTTATCTGTCTTGTTGAGATGTTGGCCTGCCGTTTGAGTAAAGCTATACGTTGTATATGAGTTCACCAACCATCAACAGCAAGATCGATTTGGGCAGAATGGGAGAGACACATGGTTGAAAGGAGGCCAAGCTGAAATTCTGATTCTTGAGCATGTGATAATCCATGCAAAATGTTAGCCAATTTACAGTTCAATTTTAATCTTATTAACAAGTATCCTTGCCACCTGATACCCTTTCCAGCAGCTGTGAAACCCATACTGTTCTGAATTCAGTGAGAATTGCATACATGAAATTTAAAGCCTCAGGTTAAAATTATGTGTCCTTTAATAAAAGTTCTTTGCTGAACCATGTTAGTGTGGATCAGCTGTTTTAGAGAACGTCCATTGCCAAGGTCAGCAGATGAGACTATTTAAAATGCTTTGGCAGTTTTCAAATGGAATACCTTTGTCACCAGCACCAAACTGTGAAGACACTTTGGCTTCATTGACGCTCATTTGCTTTGGTGCTGACATCATCTGGCTGACTAAGTTCATTACAGTTTTTAAGGATTGCTTTAGTATTTGATTTAAGGTATCATTGGAAGTCATCGTGTTCCCAAATCTGATAAATGCACAAAACTTTTCTAGTTTCTTGAAATGAGACCTCACTTAACATTAAAATGTCTGTGTGCTACAGGTACCCTTATACTTTGTTTTGCTTTAATTCAGGGGTTTACTTTGTAAGTGCATCTAGTTGTCATGAAATCAGACACTCTGCCTATTCAGAATGAGTCTGTATAGTTAGTATGCTTTTAGCTGCAAGTAACCATATTTTGCATTTCAAAGTAGTTTAAAAAGTAGATGAACCTATTATCTCCCATGTTGAGGAATTTAGAGGTGATGTGGCTTCAGGTTGGTTAATTCGGGGTCCCATATGGACTCAGTTCCTTCCATCTTCCTGTGCTTCCATCCTTACATTTCCTGTCCTATTTCTCCCCTGACCTCTAGATGACTGCCCCAGGGCTGGATGCCGTGCAGATATTACTACCACCAGGGGAAGAAAAAGCTATTTCTTCCTCATGCACCTCTTAAAAACCAGTAATCTTTCCTAGATGCACTCAGGAGACTTATACACATACCTCATTGGCCAAAAATGGGCCACCCGCCCCTAAACCCATGACTCGAGAGGGGGTGGGGGCATATGTTTGCCTTAGATCCAATAGTGTTGAACAGGTCTTATGGGATAGGATAGGTGCCAGAACAAAATTTGGGCCCTGCCAGTATGAAAGAGGAGGAAATTGGTTGTTGGGTAGGCATCTGGCAGTGTCTCAGCAACTAGTAACTGGTGGCTGCTAAACCTCAAAATCTATTATGCCTGTTATTTCTATTTACTTTTGACTTCCGACTCCTTCCATTAAGAAGCACAGCAAAATTTTTTAAAAATTTTAAAAAGAAACACAACAGCCATATATGAAATGGACAGAATGGTCATTCACAATATAGTCAGATTTTTGGTTGAAATTTTGGTTCATAATGAAGTTTATACCACTTGTCTTTATAAGATGCTGTTTCTGAAATAGTCTGCCCAAGCCGGGCTCAGTGGCTCAGCCTGTAATCCCGCGCCTTTGGGAGGCTGAGGTGAGTGGATTGCCTGAACCCACGGCTTCGAGACCCGCCTGGGCAGCGAGACCTCATCTCTACAATAAATCAAAAAATTAGCTGGGCGTGGTAGCGCATGCCTGTAATTCTGGCTACTCGGAAGGCTGAGGCGGAAGGATCGCCGGAGCCCAGCAGGTTGAGGCTGCAGTGGCCCGGAGCGGCCACTGCACTCCAGTCTGGGCGACAGAGTGAGACTCCAACTCAAAAAAAAGAAAAGAAAAGAAATAGTCTGCCCATTCCATAAATAATAATGCAGCACGATGCTTAGTGTAAAAAATAGGGTAGGAGTGGATCTCCCAGACCAATGATTGAGCAGCATAGAAATAGAAATTGACTAGAAAGATGTTAGAAAGAAAGTCAAGCCCGGGCTAGGGATGACACTATGTGTACAAGTAGAGATAGAGACCATGTGTCCAGTAATGCATAAGATCTGTAGATTTCTGGGAGACTTGTGTTGAAGACAGTGCAGAAAATGAGGTTTGAATGAATTCCTTGTTCCAGAAAGGCACCATGGTCTCAAGGTATTCAACTGAAGGAAGTTGAGAGTCCTGGGATCAGTTTGCTTCAGCAGAACAGACATGCGTATAGGGAAGGTTCATGAAGATCCTTGAAGTCTTGGGCTGTGCTGGATGTGCACTGTACCTCCCTTATGTGGCCTGGCCAGAGTACCACCCCTAAGCATGTAACCTAGTGGGTTCTTCCGTTTGTAACAGACTGTGTGTCCTTTTTTCCCAGCATGTGGACACGGGAAACTCTTACCTTTGTGGGTACCTGAAGATTAAAGGCCTTACTGAGGTAAGCACTCACTCACACGAACTAGAACTGGAAAGTTGATGGTGTGCTCAGCAATCTTGTGCAGGTAAGCGCAGGCAATCTGAACTCTTTGAGACCTAATTAAAGCAGACTGCTTATAAGCATTGTTACTATATGGGAACATAAAGCAAGCAGTTTTGATGTGTCCTGTTAGGAAGTGTACAGATTTACAGATTCACAAGTCACTTTTTTTTTCTTTTTAAGAGACAGGTCTTATTCTGTTACCCAGGGTTGGGTGCAGTAGTGCAATCATAGCTTCCTGTCTCAGCCTCCTGAGTAGATTACAGGTTCGTGCCATCCTGGCTAATTTTTTTTTCCTCTTCTTTCATAGAGTTGAGGTCTCAAGATATTGCCCAGGCTGGTCTTGAACTCCTAGCCTTAATTGATCCTTCCACCTCAGCCTCCCAAAGCACTGTGATTATAGGTGTGAACCACTGTGCCTGGCCTAGATTCACAAATCTTTTAAAGAAAGGTTTATAAATATGTCACAATGCAACTAACATTATTTTCTTAATCCTTTTTGAAACCCTTTAATTCATTGGAACAATGAAAAGTGGCCATCCAATTTATAACAGAAGTACCTACTGTGCAAGTGTAGAGTGGTTTTCTTTCTTTGAACCAACTTTTTCAACCTCAGAACTCCTGGGACTTTAGAAAGCAAGAAGGAGCATCCTTTCTTTTCTATTAGCAAGGAAACAGAAAGGAAAAGGAAGGAGGCGGCTGTACTGGCCATTGGACTCCACTGTAAGTGCCTAGGCTGGACCTAGCTGCAGGGGCCTTTGGCCTTTTGCCAGCTCTCATGGCCTTGATGACCCAGCAGTATTTGGATGGAGCAGTGGAAAGGAGCTGGGGCTACATTCTCACTCTGCTCCTTCCTGCTTCTATGACCTTTAACTTCTCATTTCAGTGCTTTCATCTGTAAAGTGAGAATTAAAAATCACTACTCCAGAGCCAAGCGCAGTGGCACACGCCTGTAGTCCCAAATACTCAGTATACTGAAGCAGAAAAATTGCTTGAGCCCAAGAGTTCCAGGCTGCGGTGAGCTATGATTACACCTGTGAATAGCCACCACTCTCCAGCCTGGACAACACAGTGAGACTCTGTCTCTTAAAAAAAAAAAAAAAAGAGAGAGAGAGAGAGAGAAAGAAAGAAAAAAAAATCCCTGCTCTGTCTACTCAATGGACTTGTCCTGGGAGGAGAAAACAATGTTAGAGGAAGTGATCGATGCAAATGTGATACTAGTATGGGATACTATTGTAGAGTCCTGATGAGCCTCAGACACAAGACAAGTGTTTCTGTCCCCTTGATTTTGTCTGGCTCTCCTGCTTTTCTGTTAGAAGTTTTATTGAAGATTTCCATGAAGTTTGTTGTTGAGACAAAAGGTATCTCTTTTCCATTAAGAAACATATTCAATCAAGCAAGAGTAGAATATGAAAGCAAAATAAAGGATTCTAACCTTCAGGTTTTTGATAGGAGAAAACATACTAAAACAAAATATGCTCAACTATCAGGCAGCCAAACACATTTGTTAACTGAGTGGAGATAATAAACATTCAACTTCATAAGAAAACCATCAAAATACATAATGCATTATAATGTTAACACTGTCTCCAAAGCTAGTCATTTGGGTAATAGGAAGGTGTGCAGAAATGCTAGCAGATGTGAACTCTCTATCCGGAGCAAGTAGTCCTTACTAAGGGAATCCCCTCTGTATTGAGAACAACAATCAAGCTCCCTTGAGGTGCTTGAGGAGAGAGCACTGGTATGGACATTTGGCCATTTGTTGGGGGCCAGCCCAGAGGGAACCCTAGGTTCTAAAGAGAACCATCTGCAGATAGCATGGCCTTGATGAGCACAGTAGATTGGGTTATGTTGCTATTGGGGCATTTCATTAGAGCAAGTCCTGCTCAGGCCTAGGATGCCTGGAATTTTTTTTTTTTTTTGAGACAGTCTTGCCCTGTTACCCAGGCTGGAGTGCAGTGGCATGATCAGAGCTCACTGCAATCTCAAACCCCTGGGCTTAAGCAATCCTCCTGCCTTAGCCTCCTGAATAGATGAGATTACAGGGACATGCCGTCCATCACACTTGGCTAATTTTTTTTTTTTTTTTTTGAGTTGGAGTCTCACTCTGTCACCCAGACTGGAGTGCAGTGGCTGCTCCCGGCCACCGCAGCCTCGACCTGCTGGGCTCTGGCGATCCTTCCACCTCAGCCTTCCGAGTAACTGGAACTACAGATGCGCGCTACCATGCCCGGCTAATTTTTTTTTTTTTTTGAGTTGCAGTCTCACTCTGTCGCCCAGACTGGAGTGGAGTGGCCGCTCCCGGCACTGCAGCCTCGACCTGCTGGGCTCCAGCGATCCTTCCTCCTCAGCCTTCCAAGTAGCCGGAATTACAGGCATGCGCTACCATGCCCGGCTGATTTCTGATTTATTGTAGAGATGAGGTCTCGCTGCCCAGGCAGGTCTCAAATCCGCGGGCTCAGGCAATCCACTCACCTCAGCCTCCCAAAGGCGTGGGATTACAGGCTGAGCAACCAAGCACGGCTACTTAACCTGATTTAACATAGACAGATCTTTAAAGATGGGAATCATTTAACAAATCTTTAATCTCAGGAATAGGTAAATTAAGGACTTTGCATGAGATATTACAGAAATGGACATCAGACATCAGTGACTTCCTAGTGGTTGAATCATGTGTATTTTATTACAAAGTCCATTTTTGTGGCCTCTCTGGAGCATTCACCACATAGCTACCACTGCCTTCTTTAAATAAGTCCTCCCTCAGATTCTAATGCATTTCTGCTTTCAGGAAGACAGCTAGAAACCATTATCTAGTCAGTACCTATCATGGTTTATAGAATGATAATCTCAAAACTGGTTTCAAAATAAAGGAGGTACC